CAGCAGCACGCACCTCAGGGCCTGCGATCCGAGGACTGGCTTCCACTTCTGCTGCCTCGCAGATGCTGTCAAATGTGCATAACAGATCATCTCGATCTAAAGGTTTGCTACACCACAAGCGATGCCAATTGCCCACTTTGTAATCAATGATATCCTCGGGATGGAAAAGTATTTCGCCTTGCAATGCCAACTTTTCAGCTGGTTGAGGATTGCCCTTGAAGGACCGATGAAATATAGGCAAGGCCGTCTCCAGAACCATCTAAGAGCGAAATTCGTCTGGAGACCGATGTAAGGCACGACCACGAGCACGCCGACACGCGCACTCTGCTGCCTCCACCATGGCTGACAAGGTATCCGTAGAGGTGTGAAGCGGGTCGCGCATGACACTGACCCACAGTTGCCAGTCCCACTTTTCGCTGACCAGGGCTTGCACGATCTACGGGTAGTCACCGATCAGCTTGAGAGAAGCCTCAGCCAGAGCCGACGTACATTGCCTCGTTGACGATGCTGCATGATCCTGCAGAGGACCGCGCGGGCTCTCTCCCACCAAGAGCTCCCCTGGTCGTGGAGAGGCTGGCCACGGTCCTTGACTGACACGTGGACCTCCTTTACCTGGAAACTCGGACCCTCCGCTCAGCATCTCGAGAAAACCAGTGGGGTCTGACCGTGGTGATCGTAAATCGTAGCCTCCAGAGTGGTGGCCCATGCTGCCAATATGCCGCTGACTGCTGTGCCGTGCCGCGCTCCGACTCCAATTGCACTCCGCAGAAACAAACCAACTTGGGCGCGATGCTCGAGCCAAGATGTTGACAGAGTGTAGAAAGGAGGGGGAGGCGGCGAGGGGGCAGCATGGGCACCAGCAGGGATCCCTGTGTGAAGCTCCGGGGAGCCGTGAGACCTACCAGATTCATATTTATGAGTACCAGCAGGTTACTGCTGAGCGGGCCTCTCCAAGGGCTCAACTGGGGGCCTGGGGAGGGGCCGCGGAGCTAGCAAGGTCTAAACAAACGAGCTGTCCTCCAGACTGTGGGTTCGCACAAGCGCTAGCCAGCACCCTACCACGAGCCCTAAAGTTGTCCTCGCTAGCCCGGGGGGTGCTCCTCCTCAGGCCAACCGACTTTATTAAAGTCTTGACACTGTACGGGTGATACGAGCCAGTCTCGCCTTGCGGCGAGACACCACATCCCCAAACAGTGCAGCACAAGTTGAACGCATCTTCTCGCAAGAGATAGCAGACTGCCTAGCTCGCTCCACCTTAGCTGCACTTGGAGCCAGGAGAAGGAAGGGAGGGGGGGCGCGGAGCCTGCGGCAGCTTAATTTTGTACGTGGAGTGAGGGATCAAGTGAGCAGCTGTGCCCCTGATCCACGGAAATACATTAACAACCCACAATGCGTTTTCCATGGCACATCTACACAGCACGAACACTCAGAATGTACGGACAGAAATTGTTGGATGCGATTGCAAAGTCACGCTCAGTGCCGTCAGGCTTGGAGCTGGCGGTGCACGTGATGCACGCATTCTCAGCCCTGACGAAGCGCCCACCAACTCTGCGATCTAAACCGTGGTATGTGAGGGAGGCCGAGGACACGTTCCAACCGGCGAACACAATCCAAGGCAGACAGAGTGAAGTAAGTAAGGCACTGAGCCGAGTACACCGTTGAAGGTTGCGACCGTACCAGCCTTCTTCTGAGTACCCGTAGAAGAAGATTGCAACGAAAGAGCAGTCTTCCATCTCGATGACCGACGCGTGGAAGCCGCCAAGCGCTTGGTGCCCGTCAGCTCGCAGCGCAGCCCACGAGTCAGTGGCAAGAGTGTGGGTGGCACGTTGACCTTCAGAGTGAAGGAATTCTCCGCCCTCGTTGGAGCGGTGTTCGTTGTCCCCGATGGTCGCTCTTCCCGATGGCTTGGTTGGGTTGGCTGTCAGTCGTAGCCCAGCCTTTTTGGCCTCCTTGCGCCATCAGCGTGCACATGAGACTCTACTATGCCAGTGAAGTGAGCCCTGTCATGTTGCGAAGAGATAATGTAATCCCACATCTTAGTGCCATCGCAAGTGACGTCGGCGAAAAAACAACGTGGGCTGATCATTATCTCAAGTGGACCCCAGAGACTGCTGTGCAGCCTGCGCCGTAGAGGGAAAACCAGCCCTGGCAGTCGTCGAACCAGTCGGACTCGCACTTGGGCCAGAAGCCGCTCTCGGCGTCGTATCTCACGCTGGAGTCGCGGCCGCCTTGTGGAGGGCGGCCGTCGCTGCAGCTGCTGCTTCCTCGGCTTCTTTGGCTGCCTTGGCCGCCGCGAACTTTGCCTCCGACAACGTCTCCGCCGCCACTGCGTGACGCAGCCGGTCAGCCCCTGCGCCTCCTTCAGCCGCACCTGCAGCTCTCTGTGGTGGGGGCCCCGCTGCCTTGGGCTGGTCTGGCTGGCTTGCCGGTGCCGCCTCGCCCGAGTCGACCTGGCGCTTCTTGGTCATCCTCTCCGTTATGGCCTTCTTCATGGCCGTCGTCTTCTCCTGCCACCGTTTCGCCTCGGCGTGCTTGCTGCCGGCCATCTGCTGCGTGGAGCGCAATTGGTTCTCAAGATCGCGCAGGGCGATGCGCTCGCTATCGTCGCACTCCGGCTCGCCGACGTCCGCGAAGAATTGCTCGTCGATTGTGAGCGTGAAGAGGTCGTCCTAAGACGTGGCGGGCTCACTCTGCTCTTTCTGCCACTCTTCTCCCTCTGCTGGCCGCTGCCGATCACGCCCATCTGCTGAGCTAGCACGCACGCTGCCTTGCTCCTGGCCTCGTCGGCCCGGGCAAGCTCCAGCGCTGCGGCCTGCTTCTTGGCCTCGGCGTGTTCAAGCTTGCCTCTGGCCTTGAGGACTGCCGAGACCGCTTGGTCGTGTCGGGGTTCTGGGATGGCGTCGCTTGGTCCTTCTTATTTTGGATCTCGTCAACCAGCAGCTTCCTGATGAGGGGGCCCGTAGTCGCCGCGAGTGCGGAGGCCAGCAGCTCGATGTCAATGGACGCCGAACTTGGACTCCCAGCGCCAGGCTTCGAACACTTCGCCTTGTGGGAATCTGGGATCTGCAGCTGGTTGTCGCTGTTTTGCTCTTGGGGTGGTACAGGTTGACTTGGCACCCGCAGCCGTGGCACTTCCTGTCGCGGGACTCCAGGGTCGCGTTGTGCACGAGTTTGCTACATGACCATGGCCAGCTATCCGTGTTGCCCGTAGTTTTCGTCATTTCACTTGTCGCCAATCAGAGCGTCTGCACACTCGGGCAGCCTGGGTACTGCTGCACGCGTGCGCAGCAGGCTGATAGCCACCCAAGCACCACGTGAAGGCGGTGAGAGCTGGGCGCGAGCTGCCAAGATGGTGCTCGAGCCCAAGTTGCTTGAGTGGGCTTGAGTGGAGGACGAGGAGGAGGAGAGGGGAAGTGAGGGAGAAGAGGAGGGATGTGAGGGAGCAGTGAGGGAAGTGAGGGAGAAGTGAGGGAAGAGGAGGACGAGAGGGAGGAGAGGGAGGACGACAAGGAAGAGGAAACAGAAGACCGTGCAGTCAGCTCAGCCGTTCTGCCAACACGCTCAAGCTGAGCACATGTAAGTTCACATACCAGCTGCCACATGCCAGGCGTCATGCAGGAGCCAGCCTTTCCATTGCAGTTCGACAGCGCAGCCGTTCTTTTCGCCATGACCTCCCAGCCTGACAAAGTAGTGGGAGATGTGGATATTTTAAGTTTGGGTTGGATGACGGAGCGGGTGGGGAGCAGAAGGCCTCAGCAGGTCAAAGCGTAGAGCCGCACAGCTTTTAGTAGGTAAGCCAGGACCCACCTGGCCAGCCGATCAGAGCTTACAGTTTTTGCTCAGCCGTTTTGTCAACACGATCAAGCCTAGTACCCTAGATGGTCACATTCCTACTGCCACAGGCCAGCCGGCCTGCACGAGGAGCCGCACAGCTTTTAGTAGGTAAGCCAGGACCCACCTGGCCAGCCGATCAGAGCTTACAGTTTTTGCTCGGCCGTTTTGTCAACACGATCAAGCCTAGTACCCTAGATGGTCACATTCCTACTGCCACAGGCCAGCCGGCCTGCACGAGCCAGCCTTCGCCATACTGCAGCTCATACAGCGCAACCGTACACTCGCCACTACCTTCCAGCCTAACGCTTTGGTGGGGGATGTGGGATGGGAAATAGGGACGGTGTCTTGGGTGGGCGGTATTCGGAGGCACCCCGCCTTGGGTCTCTGTGATCAGGGGCCTGCACCACCCAAGGAGTCACACCATTAATGCCCTCGCCTACTCGGAGCTGATTGCACTTTCGCGTATTAATGATGGTTGTTGCGTACCGCAATGTTGGCACGTCGGTATGGGGAAGAGCCCCATGGTTATTCCCACTGTGGCATTCCGACAGCAGCACGCTTTGTTTTTTTGTTTGCTCCGCCCAGCTGCACACAACCAGCGTGCCACCACATGTCGCTTGCTGAGTCTCGTTCCCCTGCCGCGCATCACACACTGGTGACTGGCAACATTGATACGCTAGCGGGTGAGGTCAGATATTTGGCAGGGTGGCGGGGACAAGGGTAATTCTAGGAATGGCAGCGCTACTCCTTGCTTTACGGCCGCCTGCAATCACCGATGCATTATGACGACACCACGAGGCAAGCCGCCTACTGTTGCACGTGAATATCGATCCTTCTTCGTTCGGTTCGTTCCTCGGATGTGTGATTAAAGGATTCGATATTCGTCCAGGCTCTCTATCGCCATCGCCTGGCGGGGGCATACCCTGCGCCCTTGAGGGCAAATTGTCATTTTCATTTATCTAGTGTGCCCATCCGTTCTCTGCTGCGCCCGCGGGGCGCAGTTCGCTCGCTCGCAGGCCCAAGCCGGCTATCTTTGTTTGTCTTCACGCCGCACAGACGAAGCGATCATTGGATAATATAAGGGCAACGACAACAAGTTGCAGAGGAGGTTGACGGCGACGAAGAGCGACCAGGGAGGGGGGGCGCTCGCGCGAGCGCGCGCGCAGGCCCGGAACGCGGGGGGGTACGACGCGCTGCACAAACGCGATTTGCTAGGCCAGCTTGCCCCTCTAATTCGGAGGAGGTGGGGAAGAATAACAAGCATGATGACGACGACGACGATGAGGATGAGGATGAGGATGAGGATGAGGATGAGGATGAGGATGAGGATTGTAGTGATGATGATGCTGATGATGATGGTTGTGTGTATACAAATCATCTCCAGGGCAGCGAATGCCGCCGCGCTTGCCCCGCAACCGCGTCGGCTCAAGTTTTTACCTAACAGCGAAGACTGATAGGTTTCTAGTGGGGTCAAAAGAGAGCAGCAGATGACTCCACAGGGGGGTCCGGGCGGCATCCGGGGAGCTGGGTCCGAACTCGCTTTTCGCAAACAGTCACACACTTCGTGCTCTTCGACCTCCCAGAACTCCATTCCCGGGCCACATTTTGAATGCCCGGAGCCAACTGTAGGCCACTTCGTGCTCTTCGACTTCCCAGAACTCCACTCCCGGGCCACATTTTGGATGCCCGGAGCCAACTGTAGGCCACTTCGTGCTCTTCGACTTCCCAGAACTCCACTCCCGGGCCACATTTTGAATGCCCGGAGCCAACTGTAGGCCACTTCGTGCTGTTCGACTTCCCAGAACTAAACTCCCGGGCCACATTCTGAATGCCCGGAGCCAACTGTGTGCCACTTCGTGTTTTTCCATTTCCCAGAACTCCACTCCCGGGCCACATTTTGAATGCCCGGAGCCAACTGTACGCCATTTCGTGCTCTTCCACTTCCCAGACTTCCAAGACTCATCATCTTCATCATCATCATCATCGTCCCCTCACTCCTACTCGTTCACTCCACACACTACAACTACTACTTCACTGTACCACTACTACCATCACTACTACTTCTACTGCTACTACTACTGTTACTATTGCTGCTGCTGCTGTTGCTGCTGCTAGTGTAGCTATTGCTACTGCAACTACTGGCAGTGCCACTGCGACTGCCGCTGATGTTGCCACTGCGACTGCCACTGCGACTCCGAATGCGACTGCGAGAACACCAGAATTCTACAACAGCACTCTTACATGAATACCACAGGCAATGTTTCCAGCTATGCTTCTACACATCGCTGTTAGGTTGCTTTGCCGGGATAATTTGCTCCGGAAGGGGAGCCCTTAGCCGGTCGATGCGCCCCGCTCGACCCAGCATCGGTTTCCCAGTTGTGAGCAACACATTCATCCCGTTCCTGGCGCGCTGGTGGCTGCTGGAGCCCTCGGTTCCGTGGCCCTCGTTTCGCCTGGCCTTCCCTGCCTTGCCCCGCGTGCGAGGGCAAGGGCAAAACCTCCTTGGCCAGGGAGGCGGGCTTCGGCGGCCTGACGATGCTGGCCGCGGAGCTGGCCCGCTGGGCCCGGGGGCTGGGGGTCGGCGTTGCCCGCTTCTGCCCGTGCCGTGGCGCCGCGGCGGCCACCCCGTCGGACGAGGAACCCGCCGTGCGGTTCGACCTCGCCGAGAGGTGCCCTGGCAGAACTGGCGGCCACGGCCGTTTCTCATGTTCAGGGTCTGCGATGAGATTTGGACTAAGTACTGCGAGCCGCCGCCGCGCCTGGCGCACACGCGGATCGCCGTCGTCGGCGCCCTTGTTGCCCACCCCGAGCATTTCAGCGTCCTCATGCCGGGCTCTGACGGCGACGCCAGCAGCGACGACATCACGAACTGATGGATGCACTGGGCCGCGGGTGCCCCGCACGGGGCCGCCGTCTGCCCTGCCGGCTCCCAGTGCTACGACTTCGGCGCTGCGCCGACCGCTGCTCAGGTCGCCCAGACGTGCGCCCTCGCTGCGGGCAGGCTAGCGGCCCATGAGCGCGCTCTGGGCCCTCCTGGCGGCGGCGAGGGCGGCGGTCCTGGCTTTGGCGCCGCGCCCGGTGCTGCCATCGTTGCCGCGGCCCCTGCAGGGGCAAGGCCCCTCGGAGGCGCGCGCCGGCCGCGACGGCCGCGGCCGCTGCTGGAGGCGCTGCCCCTGCAGCCGCGCCCGCCGCCGCCCCCGCAGCTGGTGCCGGGCCCCGTGGCCTGGCCGCCCGCGCTATGCTGCTGGGCGAGCCTGGGGCTGGGACGGCCGCCTTGCCCGCCATTGCTGGACCCTCCGGCGGGGCGGCTGCGGTGCCTGCATACGCCGCCGCCGGCGGCGGCGACCTCCGCATCCTCGCGACCGCCTACGACAGCCTGGGCCAGCGCCATCGCGAGTTTCGGGACAGCGTGCAGCTCAGGCGGCCGGCCCGCTTCCCCCGACTGGCCCAGCTGCGAAGTACCCATGGGTCGCTTCAGGTCCAGAACGGAGGGTCGCTGCTCGGGCGCTGCCTTGGTTGGATGGCGGCCCTTGGAGTTGCCGTGCCAATCGACGACACCATCGCTAGCACGTCCTACGAGTTCGCCAAGACTATGCAGGTGGCTCCGTCGCATGACCAAGTCGATGGTTCCAACCTGCCTGCGCTCGCGCTGGCCACGAGGCAGCCGCAGCTCCGCGAGGAGCGCCACAAGGTCAAGCTGGTCAGCACTCTTGCCTCCGGGTCTGGAGGCGACAAGCAGTTCTCCTTCACAGGGACGCAGTATACGCGCAGGGTTATGGCCACCCCCCTTCCGACCGAATGGATCGCCAAGTAGCTCGCCGCCAAATCGGCCATCGCGAAGGAGCACCGCAGGGCGCCAGAGGAGCGCCAGCTGCTCCACCCGCCCGCCTCCGGCGGCATCGGCGGCGGTGGCGGAAGTGGCGGGGGCTGCGGCGGGGCCAAGGCCTAGCCCCTCTGCCTTCATTCCTTCACAGTGGCCGACGGGGCCGTCGCCTCTCCCGTCGGCGCCCTCCAGGCCCATCGCTCCTGCTGCCGCGGCCCCCGCGCCATGGTCAGCAGTCGTCAGCGAAACGTTCTCCCTCTTCATCGCCAACCTGACGGACCCCTGCCTGGGCACGGTCAGCGCGCCCCCGCTGCTCGGATTGCTTGGGCCAAAGACAGGATCCACGCGATCAATCGCCTGGGCGGGGTCGGCTCGCCGCCCGCGCGCAAGCGAGCTTCAGTGTTGCAGCGGCAGCCCCTCGACTACATCGCTGATCAGCACGTCGAGTTCGGACGTGCGCCAGCCGACATCACCCCGCGCAGCGCACTGTCCGACCGCTGCTCCACCTGCCCGCTATACTCCGCTGGTCGCGGCAACGTGATGTCCTACAGCTAGGACCTCGTGCCCTGGCTTTCTGGCGGCTCAGCGCCCGTCGCGCTCGAGTCCGCCCCGCGGGGGGCTGACCGTTTGCGGCTGCAGCATTGGGGGGCCCGCGTGCTTCGCCCGCCCGGTGAGGCAGCGGCTCCGCGTCGAGATCAACTCTACATCGATCCTGAGCCACGCCATCTCGTCACCGACGGCGACTTCATTGCCGAGCTGCCGGGCCGAGGGATGCCGCGGCTGTCGCGCGCCAACGTCCGCCGAGGGCTGCTGGGCGTTTTCGCCGCGGCCAAGATGTCCGGGCAGCAGCGACTTATCTTCGACACGCGCGTCTGAAACACCCGCTTCAGGCCGCCCCGTTGCACCGAGCTCCCCGGCGCCAGTGCCTCTTCGCGAATGGGGGCACAGGGGGGCGGCGACACGCGGTTCAGCGGCGGCGGCATTTCGCGCGCAATCTACGCCGTGCATGTCCCGGAGGACCGCTGCGAGTTTTTCCCACTGCCGCCTGCGCGGGCTGGGATGCAGGCGCGTCTCAGTTGGGTGGCGCTCCTGCGCGCGAGTCGGAGCAGCTGCTGCCAAAGCTCGCAATCTTGCCCACTGGCCGGTTGCGGGCCTTCCACCTCCGCCAGCGCGTCTCGGGGGCCGCCCTCGCGCGCGCCCGCGTGGCGCCCGAGCAGCAGACCCGCGACCGCAGCTCGGGCGTCAGGCTTGGGCCACGGCCCCCCGCCGCCGGGACTGCCTGCGCGGACACTTGCCCGATGGCTTCCTGCCGGCGCGCGAAGGTTCAGGCCGTTGTGCAGAAGGTCGAGCGCGAGCTCTCCTTTCTCGGCTTCGTCGTGCACGAGCAAGGTCAGCGCCGCTCGCCAGGCCGGCCTCGTCGGCCTCGACCTCGACGGCCACGAGCACTCGGCGCGGGTCTCGCCCCGCCGCGCCCGGCGGCTCCGCCGCGCCATCGAGGAGCGCCTGCGGCGCCCGAAGGTCAGGGGCGCGCCCCTCAAGGTTATCCTGGGGCGCTGCACCTGGGCCGCGCTGCTCAAGAGGTGCTCGCTGGCCACCTTCGACGCCGCGTCATCCTTTATATTCGGGCGGCGAAGGACAAGGCCCTGCCGCTCTGGCCGTCGGTCCGCCGCGAGCTCTGGCACGCGCGCTCGCTGCCCCCGCTCTTCGTCTGCTTCGCGGACGCGGAGTGGCACCCCGAGGTCGCGGCCGGTGACGCCTCTAGCTGGGGCCGCGGAGTCTGCCGCAGTTGCTGCTCGCCCGATACCGTCGCCGCGGTGGGCCGAACGGTCGAGATGCGGCGCCACCTCTCCGAGGACTCTGCTTGCGCGCGCGAGCATTCGCTGGGGCCGGCGAGCGGCGCCTCCGCGCTCCGCGACCCCGCCCAGCCGCCGTCCCACGTCGCCAAAGATTGGGACAAGTTCTTCGACCAGGTCGACCCGAACCTGCTGGTCGGCGACGGCTGGGCCATCGCGCACTCGTCGCCGTGGCGCGAGGCCTGCCGCATCTACCGCGCCGAGGGCCTTGCGCTGGGCTCTGTGCTCAAGCGCCAGCTTCGCGTGTCCGACGCCTGCGGCCAGCGGATCGTCTGCCTTGTCGGCAACGCGTCATCGTCGCTCGCCATTGGCCGAGGCCGCGGCGGCTCCGCCAAGCAGCGCAGCGACCTCTGGGAGATATGCGCCTTCTCGCTAGCCCGCAGGCTGCACGTCATTGCCAGGTGGCCCCCCAGCGAGCTCAGCCCGCCCGACGGCCCATCGCGCGGGCTACCGCACATCAGGCGCGCGGGCCCCGATGCGGCTGCCGGTCTGGGCGATCGCCCTCTCCATCAGCCCGGCAGCTGCAGGCAGGAGGCTCCAGGAGGGGGCGCCCAGGGGAGCCGCCGACGCCGAGGGGCCGCCCGCGCCTGGCCGCCCCCCTGGACGACGGCACCGGCACCCTCCAGGGGTCGCAGCCTGCGGCGGCGGCTGCCCGCCCGCGCGCGGCGCCGAAGGGGGGCCCGGAGCTGGGCATCACCGACCTCGAGCAGATGTCGGCCGGCATGGGCGCGCTCCTGGATTGCCCGCGGATGGGCCAACAGCTTCGTGAAGTGCTGCTCGGGCCTCCGCCTGGACTGGAGCAGCTGGGCCCAGCTGGGCGCGACCGTCGTCGCCTGCGTCGAATAGCTGTACTTCCACGGCCACGGCGGGAACGACGCGTCGCTGCTCCTGGCGGCCCTCGCGCCCCTCCTACCGCCGATCGGCCGCTGGGGCGACCCGGCGCCTTGCTGCCAGGCGCCGAGCAGCCTGGCGGGCCGGGGCAAGTGCTTCCCGCGGCGCGCGCGGATGCCAACCCTTTGGCTCGCGGTCGCGCCTATAGCGGGAGTCAGGCTGACGCAGTGGCAGTTCGAGGAGACCATCGCGCTGATCCTCGGCGTCGCTTGGAACCTCCGTTCGTCCGAGTGCGACCTGCCGACGGCGGCGCAGGTCGCCCCCCCCGTCGGGGGGGCCGCCGGGGACTCGGACGTCGCCGCGCTGCTTCTCCACCCGAACGAGCTGGGGCGCGCGGGCAGGACGGGCGTCTGGGACTTCACCGTCGGCCTCGACACCTACGTGCTCTCGGCCCTGGCACTCCTGAGCCTCGAGCGGCGGACTTCCGCGCCGTCCGCGCGCCCGTGGGCGCCTCCGCCGGGGTCTCTCAACACGTGCATGAAGGAGCTGTTCTGCGCGCCTGGGCCGATGGGCGCCCCGGCCCCAGCCTGCGCCGACCTCTCGGCGAAGCGCCGCCCCGCCCTACAGGCGCAGCAGCGCGGCGGCTAGGCGTCCGACAACAGCTTCCGCCGCTAATTACGCCACGCAGACCCAAATCATCGCCAAGCTGCAGCGAGCAGGCACGGGCGTCATCGACGGCTACCGCCTGGTGGACGAGCAGCTCCCCGCAACCTTCCAGAGCGGCGCCGCGGTCCCCGTGCTGTCGCCGACCTCGCCGGGCGCTGGAGCTGGCGTCCACCCGCGGGAGGAAGCCTTCGACTCTGTCGATCCGTCGGCACATGCTCAAGGACTTGCACAGCGCTTTCAAGTTGCAGGCTGGTTCCTCTCGCGCGGTGGTGCTGGAGCTCTCCGCTGGGTCAGGCCGCCTCTCTGCTTCCGTTCAACGGCGGGGGCCTGCGGCCTTGAAAATTGATTCCGTTTTTAAGCCTTGGTTTGATCTGGACCTGCCGGCCGCCCGCCAGACCATCGGAGGCTGGGCCCGCGGTGGAGCGCGCAGCGCCACCTGAATCGCGCCCCCCGGCCGCACTGAGAGCCAGGCCCGCCATGGGCCGCCAGTGACGTCGCAGTGCACCATCCGTTCTCGGGGCCACATATGGGGGCCCCCCATCCTGGGGCCACGGCCCAGGCGGCCGTCGACATCAGGAACGCGCAGCTCCGCTTCGCCATGGGCCTCGCGTCGCTGTGCCGCTCCATGGGCGCCCCTGTTTATCTCGAGAACCCCGTCTTGCCTTGGGTCTGGTTGACCCCCGGCATGCAGGCCTTGCTGAGAGCCCCCGGCGCTTCGCTCTTCAATTTCGACAAGTGCGCATTCGGAACCTGCTGGAAGAAGTTTGTTAAGGTGGCCTGTTGGGCCCTCCATCCTCCTGAGGCCCTCCCAGTAGCCCGTTGTAGCTGTAGGCAAGATGTTTGCTCCTTCTCGGGGAAGCCCCACATTGTTCTCACTCGTCACGACCCTGTCCCGGGAGCTCTCCAGACCCAATTCGCCGAATTTGTCCTGTCAAGTTATGCAACTATTTCTCCAAATGGGTTGCTAAACAGACGGGCGGTCAAGGTTTTAACCGAATGGTTCCCCTTGCCTCTCCCATTTCTTGTAGATGCCCGCAATGTGTTTATATGTTTCTCGGCGTCGCTTTGCTCCGCCACTTGCCCTCCGGGTTCGGGTCTCCTCCTCGGTGGTGTGTGTCGGTGGTATGGTGCCTCTTCCTTTCTCCTTCTCTCTCTCTTTTTCTCTCTCTCTCTCTCTCTCTCTCTCTCTTTCTCTTTGTTATGTTTGTTTTCTCTCTCTCTCTCTCTCTCTCTTTTCGTGCTTGCACGCTCGTCGCGCGCCTGCTGCACCCGTCGGTGGAATCGCCCGGGACGCCCGCCACAGAAATGTTGGGGCGCCCCGGGGTGTAGCAGGAGATGGTGGTGTTGATGATTATGATGATGTTGATGTTGATGTTGATGTTGATGATGTTGATGTTGGTGCCGATGCTGATGATGATGACGATGCTGATGATGATGGTGATCATGATGATGCTGATGGTGATGCTGATGATGACGATGATGATGATGAGGAGGAGGAGGGGGAGGAGGAGGAGGAGGAGGAGGAGGAGGAGGAGGAGGGGACGGAGGAGGAGAAGGAGGAGGAGGAAGAGGAAGAGGAGCAACAGCAGGAGGAGGAGGACCAGGGCAAGGAGGGGGGCAGAGGACAGGACGCGCGGCCGCGCGAGCGCGCGGCACTGGCGGCGGCGCTGGCCGTATGAGCCGGCGCTGAGGGTCGGCGTTGGTGGGGGCCTTTTTTCGAAGTCTTTTTTGTCGTGGGCGACAGCGGGCGGTCGACCTCCAGGAGAAGGAAGAGGAGGAGGAGGAGGGCCCCCTTGTGTAACACTGGGGAAAAGCTTCGCCCTCGAGGGATCGGGGGGGTGACTTCTCTGCCTCGGCGGACGGCGGACGGGAGCCCGCTTAAGTAAAACAGAACGGTTCCGCCGGCGGAAACAAGCGGGACGCTTGCGGAAGCCGGTTGAATGCTTGTTTTGCGTCGATTCAGGATTGCGGCACCAAGTTGCGTCTAGTAAGGGCGACTCGTGGCTGGGATATCCTCCCCACCATTACAAACAGCGTGCGACATCACCCGTGGAGTTTGTTGCGTATTTTGAGATAGAGCGCGGCGAAGGTTTTGACAGACAAGAGGTGCCAATCTATGCTTTTTCACCTGTCGGCAACCGAGGGTTCTGGCTGGCAAGAGGGGCCATGGCATTTCTGCCTCTTCGGCGCCAGCCACTCTTTATTATGTGCTGAAGTGCGTGTTCTCGCCGACAAGTTCCGTTCGACGCCGGGGTACAATTATTTTGCTCAACTTGCACTGGCACACTACGTCGACCCTAAGTATCAGGGCTTTCGATTTTGAAGGTTATAAGCCCTCGCAAGCGTGCAAGGAGGCAGAGGGGGAGGAGGAGGAAGAGGAAAAGGAGGATGAGGTAGGCGGAGGAAGAGCAGGAAGAGGAGGGGTAGCGGCTGAGGGCCCATGCCAAGCCCTCTCTGTTCGTCGATCGTCCGGGTGTGCGCCGTCTTCTGCTGGCGGCGCGCACCAAGGGCGGCGCGAGGGGGGCGGTGCTCTAAGAAGGCGGGCGCCGTTGAGAAAGAAGGTGCTTTTTGTGGTCCCCGCTTCGGAAAGGCCAGAGACTTCCACGAATCGATTCTGGAAGCTACGAGGGCTTCTTAGAAGCCAGGAGGGTTTTCAGAAGACGCGTGCCTCCTTCGAAGCCCCCCCCCTTTTCTTAGAAGGCCGATCTCGTCGTGCCACCCTCGTTATTTGCGCCGCCCATTCTGCCTACGAGGCTGTCGCTCGTGCGGATGGTGCGCGCTTGTCTGTCCCCCCGGCGGCGCATGCCTTTAGCGGGCCCCAGAAACGCCAGGGAAGTGTTTGGTCGTTTTTCACAAATCGTTTCTGGAACATTGAGGCGTTATTTCAGAAACCGTTCTTGGGGGCATGGAAGGAAGCAGTTATGGGGTTGGACCCAGAACCATACATAAAACGACGACGGAACCGCGAAAAGAGCGGCACCAGAATCGCCAAAAAGTATGACACATTGAATTTGTCATACAGTTGACCTGTCGTTTCCAGGGGCCACTACGCCTGTACCGCCCGCGGAGGCCACTTGCAGCGGCAACCAGGCGCGAGTTTCGACCTGCTGGTCGCGGGAGACGTCTTCATTTACGCGCCAGGGCCTAGGGTCGGGTGGTGAGACCGATCGGACCCAGGACAAGGATCGGGCTCAGGGTAGGGTCCTGGCCCAAGCAGAAGAAATAACAGAAAGCTTCTCGCGGATCTTGAATCACTGGTCCAAAGCTCCAAAAGGAGGAAATCTGGTGATTATCCTCCTCCCTCTTCCCTCCAGTGGTGAAATAACAAAAAGCTCCGCGAGGGAGAAGGATCCAAAGCGCAGCGAACGCGCAGTGATCCAAAGCAGTGAGATTTCGGAGCTTCGCGCGGATACCTTGATCGGCGCTGGGAGCCCCCCTGGCGCGCTCCGCGCGCCAGGAAAGGGAGGTGCGTCGCCGATGCGATAAATCCTCTCGGACCTCCGAAGGCAAGGGCTCCCACGAGGGCGTGAAGTCATTCGCGCTTTGCGCTTCGCGGTCCTCGTTCCTTCTCCCCCTCCTCCTCGTCCTCCGTTTCTCCTTTTGGGGGGGCGACGCGAGAGCGCGAAGTTATTCGTGTTTCGCGGAGCGCGAAGCGCGAAGTTGGGAGCCCTAGGAAAGTTGAGGTTCATGCAGTTGTATCTTCTTCTACCGAGATGTTCGAGGCTTTTCGCGCCATCTTGAGACTTGTTGGGGGCCTTGGGTCCTCGTGATGGTGCTCAGGAGGCCATCTGGGCGTCCCTGGCGGATGCCTCTCCGATCGACCTGCGGGGGTCGGTCGGGCCAGGGGGGCTGCAACTGTGTTTGCGCAGATCAAAGCAGACACGGACAGATCGGAGTGGATTCAGAGCTATCCAGATTCGGGGTACGTACAGGACGGTTTAGCCCGAGGTGGGGGGTACGGAGCGAGCCCAGCTCTCAAGGCCGAGATGTCCTTTCCCCAGGGGCCGTCGGGAGCGATTTCCCTCTAGCCCGACCTCTGGCACTACAGTCGGGCCGAGGTGTAAGATCGAGGTCGGTTCGGGGAGGGTACCCTAATGTTCTTCGTGCTTGTCGGATGTTCTTGCGCATCCTAGGGGAGGGTACCCTCGAAAGCACTTCATGTTGGCCGGCGGAGGGTCGCATGTTCTTGAATGATGTGTCTTTTGTTTTAGATCCGATTGTCAACCACCTTCACGTCCCCCCGACAGATACATCTGGAGAAGCCATGGAATCTCCAAAGCGAGTCGCTGAACAGCATAAGTCGTGCAGCCCTGAGATAAGGGGGAAGAGCGTGGCCGCGTCGCCGCTGAGTTCGAAGACGACCGCCACGATGCTTGAATTGATGGTGAAGGTGATGGTGGTGATGGTGAGCGTGACAGTGATGCTGATGATGATGATGATGATGATGATGATGATGATGATTGTGATTACGGTGATGATGATGATGATGATGATGATGATGATGATGATGATGATGATGATGATGATGATGATGATGATGATGATGATGATGATGATGATGACCATGACAATAACAATGGTAGCCCCCACCCTTCCAAGGGGCAGAGCATCGGAAGACCTACAGGGCGTCCACGATGCATTACTTTCTTGGAGCGCCTTGGGGCCCTTGCGCTACAATAGACACTTAACCCTCGCGGACTGTGATCGCATCTCCTTCCATCACCTCCCCGTGCCCATCCCTTGACAATTACTCAATATTAGTTGTACTCTCTCTCTCCCCACAATTTCTGTCTGAGCGGAGAGCCTTTCCTCCCGCGTAGTACGTATTACGCAGAGTATGTCAAAGTTGTTGTGACGGACAGGTTGGTCGATCGGAGGGTTCTTGACGTTTCAATCGGAGGGTCCTTGATGTTTCAAAGTGGAGATCTCGGTTCAGCGCTGGCCTCATTTCAAGATCGGAGGTTTGCTCCCATCGTTCTGGGTGGTATTCTCGCCCCAATGCAGGCCACACTTCTGGATCCCAGCCGCTCCTCTTCATTCTCGCCCTCCTCCTTTCCTCTTTTCAGCCTTCCCCTGCTCCCCCCGATCCTCCTACTCATGAGATTGCAGCTGCGTTTCATCATCCTTCCTCATCCTACTCCTCTCGCTCATCTATCTGCTCATCCACCACCACCACCACCACCTGCCCCTACAATATAAACAGTTCTCCTTTTTGACTGCGCATGACACAATGGGGGTGGCTATTGGTAATTCAGAAGCGCTATGACACGACTGATAGGGACAACTCAGCGCAATGGGAAGGAATGGGTGGGAGGGGTGATAGGCCAGATCTGGCGCGAGCGCGCCTAGCTTGCCACCCCCCCCTCCCTCCCCTCTCCGCCCCCTCCTCATCCTGCACTCCTCGTCCCCAGTCGTCGTGCCGTCCCATCCGTAGTCGTCGCCGTCGCCCTCCTCTTTCCAGGCGTGCCACCCTCATGCGGGACCAGCCGAATCTTGCTCTGAATGTTTAGCCTCCCTCGCCCCCCCTGCCACCGAGTGGCCAGCGGAGGAGGAGGAGCAGGAGGAGGAGGAGGGAGGAAGGGAAGGAGGGAGGGCAGGAGAGGGAGAAGCGACATGGTACGACCCAGGAGCTCCTCCACCCTACGATTGGGCAGCTGCCCCTGGAAAATTATGGGCATCATTTCTCGGTCGCTCCTGGTGGGGGGCAGACAGGGTCCAGCCAACTGAATAGCTCTACCTTGGGACCGTCCCCACTGTTCAAACAGATCCATGTATGCTTCCCGTTCTCGCGGGCACAGGGCATCCGCTCTCGAGCCAGTCGTCCGAGCCACCCCGGCCTCGACCACGAGGTGCCCTTCGGGGTCCTTGGGAAGTTTCTGGACACATGCTGGAATTCCTTTGCAATCGTTCTACGCCAACGAACTCCTCCTGGTCGCTTCCCGGCTGCAGGCCGGCGGCGCATCGCCAACCCGCTTCGCCGTAGGTCTACTCGCGCCACTGCACCCTCCTTTGAGACACGGGGCCGTGTCTGGACTGGGCGTGAGTCCATTTGGGATGCGTGTCGAAGTGAGAAGCTAAATGACAGAACTGGATATCCCTTTCTGCAGCGAGGGACAGGCTCCGGGGAAAGATTGGATCGGCAGTCTTATGCCGATGCACAGCTATCTCCGCATGATGGTCGACGACGAATTCGTAACAGCAGATTTTTTCGCGAGTTGGGGCTACTTGTCAGTAGCGTCTTGGGATCGATGGGCTTTGACGGGCCTCACCTACCTGATCCGTTTCACTCCTTCGTATGAGTGAGGATATTTCGGAATTCCCACAAACTTGCTCGAGGTTGCCAACTGTAGGTGTACACCCCGATGGGGTAGTTTTATCACCACCACGCAATCAGCACCGAGGACAGTTGGTCTGTTTGCCACTTGTCAGCACAGAACGGTACCGGCGCGTTCTGACATAGCAAGTGTCTGAGGAGAAGTGCCGCAGACGACCCCGCGCATTACAGCAATTTGCTCTGGCCCCTGACCACTGGCGGGGGGGAACCCTACCGACTACCCAGCCTTTTGTAAAGCTCTGATGGGGGGGGGGGGCAGGCGCCCGAAACTAAAGTAAGAACGGGTTCGGTAAATAACTCGGCAAGTTGCCCGGGGCGCATGTCAAGCAGCATGCCCGATGCATCAACATCTCAGTTTCGGAAGACGTGGAAGTGTTTCTTGGCAGCGCACTCTCGGGGCACACTACATGCGTCGGGTAAAGATCTCTTGCTAGGGCTCATCAAGAGCCGTTGCTATATCTTCAGGCTTCGCATCAGCTTCTGCACGTGCCAACTGCACTTCGGGCCCCGCACAATGATAGAGTCCGTGGCCCAGCTCGTCGATTCTTTCACCCTAAGAAGCCCCGTCCGCCACATACCCCGTCAAACGACCCCTCTCATCGGCCCGCGCGACATCGCACGCGCAGCTCCTGGTGAGAAAATTGGCCTGCCCCCGTAACCCTCAGGCTTTTGGCCCCACGCTGCCTCGGACGAGATCGAGGGTGGCCATGCCCCTTTGGGCTTGCCGAATTTGGCTGCGAAAGGAATCTCGCGCGCCTGCAGGATGCCTATCTCGAACTGATCCGCGAGAGTGGGGCTATTTATGCGGCGCAATCTGCGCGGTGCACTCAACATTCACAAACTAAGAGTTGACAGCCCCATTGTTAGCGCAATCGCCCCACCCGCCCACCCGCAACTGGGTCTGCAAAACCCACTTGCGGTGGCGATTCCGGGTGCTTGGAGCTGGCTGGCACATCTCCGCGGCCGCGCTAGCCCGCGCATGCTCGCGCGCAGAGTGGCCCGCTAGTTTGGCGCGACAGACGCGACCGCGCTGGCGCTGACCGCCGGGCACTCCTCTGCCCGCCTCGCAGGGGCGCGCGGACACCTCAGTGCGAGTCGACGAGATAATTAGGCGGGCGCGGCAGCACGGCGACGTCGACCGCGGTTGGCGCGACGATGATAGTAGCGCTGACGATAAAGATGATGACGATTGCGACGGCAACGCCCATGTCGGCGCCGGCGCCGTTCGCGCCGACGACGACGATGGCGCCCTCGCGTCGGCGATGAAGGTTCTGGGGAGAGTTCGGCGCGCGCGCGGCCGACGAACGCGAGCGGCCCGCGCGGCGCCATTCGAGGGGGGTCGCGCGCCGCCCCCGCCCCCCCCCCCAGCGCGCAGATGGTTCGCCCGAATGGTTTCGCACGCGCGCGCGAGAGGCCCGCTTGGTAGCACGCGATGAAAGTGGAGTTTGGAAGCCGACGGTTGCCCGAAGAATGCGCGAAAGCGCGCGCGCATTTTTGCCGTGAACGGGCGTCGCTGATAATGCGTTCCGGGGCACTCGACGTTTAACATTTGCGAAACCTAAGGTTGCGAGCGGTTTCGGCGCGCGCGCGCGAGGCGCGCGCGCGAGACGGCGCGCGCGCATTCTGTTTAGTTTGTTGCAAAGGGGCATTTCAAATTTGCGTCGTGACGAGCGAGCGCGCGCGCGTGTAATTCCTTGCGGGGGGGGCGGCGGCGGGGAATCGATTCCGTTTGGGGCTGGGTAGTATGAGTTCATACTCACGACGAACGACGGGGCAGAATCATAAGCAAATCGCAATGCA